TAACCATTAGCAAACCTACATAATAACAATTTTAGCACACTGTGAATACTTTTTATAACAACACAATGGTATCAAATGCATATTTATTATTTTCTAACATTTTCTGTATTAGACATTTTCTAACAGAAAAATTCTGAAAAAGCCTCTTAAAATTGCTTATCTGTCTGCATTTATAAGTGCTGGTACAAAATAAATGCTTCCCAATTTTCACCTCATAACTTAAGAAAGTTGCATTACATTCCAGTAAGAGGCTTCAGTTTGAAGGTGAATGACTCTGTGATAGCATCATACCACACTCTCAAAATGGCTGTTTCATTACGTGTGCAAACTAAACAGAAAGCAGTCATTATGTTTCCTGCTATGGACTTTTTATTATGTTTCAAATTCTTTTTAATAGAATGTTTCAGCAGTTATGCTTCTGAAGATATACACATTCCTACACCCTTACCATTCAAAACTCTCAGTTTAAACCTGGCATTTAAAACCCCTAGTCTGAAATCATAAGATTAAACCTTCCAGAAATAACCTCAAATTTTCACAGTATTCCCGACTTATTAACTGCTAACATTCTGAAAAATTTCTATACAAAATTCATAGATATGCTTTTAATTTAAAACCATACAAACTTTCACAATCATATAGAGGGATAAGTATATATTTTGTGTCACCACCATGTAGTTATTTTACACTATACAATCAACTCTCGATTATCCGGGGGTGGATAAACCGGTTTGTGGCTTAACANCAAGAAATGTAGCTGGAGGCTATGTCCGTCATGGCACCGACAAGTGGTGGTTGGTAATCGTCTGCATCTCTGTCTCAAGTAAGTCGAACTACTCATATTAGCCATGAAATATAAGGTGATATTAATAAAGTGCAAACCCAGTGTTGAGCCCATTTCATTAGTTATTAAGTATAATTTTTGTAAGATTGAATGTTTAGGTTAAAATGCCAGACGGCTGGCTGGAAGGCAGGGAGACAGAACCGCGGCTGACTCTTTGCATTCCTTGGCAGTCGATCGAATTGTCTTTAGAAAAGACTGTTTACGCATCAGTGGAAAGACCTGGTCAGGTTTCGCTTCGCGTGACAAGACATGTCCGGCAAGATGCTGACTTCAGGGATTTCGCACGCACAGCTTTCGCAACTTGGGAAAAAGTTGAATCTTGGAATTGGGAAAACAGGCCGCTTCAGGCACTGTTTCTAGCAGTTGCCAGAAACGGAGCAAAGCAAAGTGTGCCTGTGGAAAACCTTGGGATGGCGCCAGTGTTTTTCATGTGCATCATGTTCAGCGCGTGTGAGTACTTGCCCGTGGTCGGGTCACTGATGGCTTATTAGAACTTCTGGTTTAAATGATTTTGGTGGGTCAATGTGTTTTTAGAATTTAGAGGTCTATAAGTGTTTTAATTTGATTATATATTCCATTTTTGTTGTTCGTTTGGAGAACTCGAGTTTTTGTGACCCTCCTAGTGAAGCATGTTTTCTACAGCATAGGTTAAGTGATATCAATGGACGTCCGATAGGGGGTGAGTACAGTCAATGCCCCCTATCCGGGCACAACACCAGTGACTAAAATGAGCAACATAACAGGCTAGGGTACCATGTGTCAGTACAGGAGGGATAACGAGCATATGTGAACCTTGTGCGACCCGATGGCAGTCAGCATTAATTACAGTATATATGTGTATGTATGTAGATACTAGACGAATACAGTAGGATGGAAAAGTGGAGAATTTTATTGGTACAACCCGTTAGGCTCCTTCCCCTTACCGCTTACCCTATGTTTTATGGGAACTGTGAGCTCGAGCCTGGGAGCAACAACAGTCCTTACAGGAAGAATAAGCCGGAGGAAGGGGAGAGGCTCCTAAGGGACAGGAGCCGACAGAGAGTAGACTACTGTGATCTACTGTTTTTTTGGTAATTACTAAATACCCCCCCTTATGGCAGAACAATTGGTGGCAGCGATAAGATTTAGAAGAGCAATATTTGTGTCGCAATCCTTGTGGCACAATAAGTGGTGGCAGCGGTGGGATTAGCCAAAGAGAAATGGCTGACATAGTAATTTAGTATTTTGATTTAACCACCCCTGTCATCATGGCATTACAGTGTGCATGTACAAGGGTCGTACTGAAAGTCATGAGCAACAATTTTTTGTAAACTAACATGCTTTATTATTGACAAACCAAATACACCACCTCAATCTACAGACCTTCCTTTATTTTTCCACACAATCACAACTTCTTTGTACACATTTCTCCCAGCGTTCTGGGAGCTTGAAAATTCCCCTTGTGTAAAATTCCATTCCAGCCGTCTGAAGACACTGATGCACTGCTTTCTGAATTGCCACCCTTGCCTCAAAACGTTGTCCATGCAGCTGATCCTTCACAAATCCGAAAAGATGGTAGTCAGAGGGTACCAGATCAGGGCTATAGGAGGGGTGTGGAAGAACTTCCCATCCCATCTTTGCAATTCCTTCCAATGTGAGGTGAGCAGTGTGGGGGCGAGCATTGTCATGCAGGATGATGTTTCGTCCCAGACGTTTATCGCGCAATGCATGACGGAGCTTGTGCAGCGTCTGGACATAACGAGCAGCACTGATGGTTGGCCCAGGTTCCAGGAGTTCGGCCAGAATAAACCCCTCTGCATCCCAGAAACTGTGCCCATCACCTTTGCAGCTGATGGCACTGTCTTTGCCTTCGTTTTTAATGGAGAATGCGAATGGTGCCATTCCATACTCTGCCGTTCCGTTTCGTTCCAGGCTCAAAATGGTGAAACCAGCTTTCGTCACCTGTCACAATACAGAGCAAAAAATCGCCTTCGTGTTGATATCTCTGCAGCAGTTCTCAGTTAATGGCTTTTTGCTGACGTTTGTGGTCTTCGGTCAATAACCGCCGGACCCAACGAGCATAAACTTTCCTATAGCCCAAGCTTTCATCATTTCCTGTGCCCTATTCCAAGTTTTCGGGCTACTGTGTCCACAGTCACATGCCTGTCATCTAGAATGATCTCATCCACTCTTTCCTTGTTGCATTCAGTTGAGGCTGTTCTAGGACGACGGCTCTGAGGCTCATCTTCAATGCTGGTGTTCCCATGTTTAAAATGTTTCACCCATCTTCGAACACTGCTTGCACCCATGCACACACTTCCATGAGCAAACTGAAGTCTCTGCTGAATTTCTGCAGCAGGGATTTCCTCTTTCACAGGAAATTCGATGACAGCACGCTGGTGAAACGACATATCGTTGTCGGGCATTTTGTTAGGAGTGATACTGGTCACGTGATGCAAGCTACTGACGTCACAAGACACTCACGGTTAACACAACAGCTGGTTCCACCTACCACCATACTCTCTTTTGTCTGCTGTTCCCAGGTTGCATGCAAAAAAAAAAAAGTTGCTCATGACTTTTGGTATGACCCACATACTTTTGGGTGTTTATTGAACCATTGCCTGGAAGGGCATTGATGTATCACAGTATTATACTAGGTAAACTGTGTCAACTTTGTCACTTGAACAATAAATACTGGTATTAGAAACAGTACATAATATATCGTTATCAACAAAAGTGAAACAGCTGTATATCAGAAACCGTTCAGAATGGGGCACGTATATATACACTTTTTTTCTTAGAATGACTGATACCATGACCTCTCAGATTATTGACCTTTCCTCCTGGGACACATTGCATATGACATTAAACGACTGTTTCCTTTTCAAACTCATTGGTCTTCGTTCAGCAGCTCTACCAGTCTCACTCTGTTCACCAACCCTATGAACTGTCTCAAATTCAGTGCCTTCACAAATCCCCATTGTCAGCCACACATTCACAGCTAACATTCCAAACTTCTTCCTTGTCCTCCTTTCCATCTATTTCATGAGACATACAGTAGTTTTTACATACTTTAACTATTACTTCTGGAGAGATATGCTGCCATGGTCTTGATTCAGTTGCACACCTGTTCTAGACTGTGCTCCTTTAGTGACCCAGTTTGGGGTCAGAAATTGGTCCCCTACCAAGAGCCACTCATTGATAACCCAACTTGTGAAAAGTGCCTACAAGATGATGAATCGGCCACACGCATCCTCTGTGAATGCGGGACCATAGCTTATTTAAGATTTCATCACTTGGGTCAGTCTTTTATCGAACGAAGTGACTTTTATGATGACCCCATAAGCAGGGTCCTACACTTTATTAAAAGTGTAGGATTAATAAAGAGCTAATCCAAGGGAAAGCACAACAGATCATTGAAGGTCAGAGTGCGGGGGCCAGTTTTTATGGCCCACCCTTTACATACATACATACATACAAGAGCCACTCAGAATATAACTGCTTCAAATGTTCCTCCAAATGCTTATTCACTACAATGTGTAGCTGTGAAGTCAACCGTCCAGGTACCATCACGAGATCAGTATTCATGACTACAGCAACACTTAAAAGAAGAGAAAGAAGAATGTGATTTCCATTCAGGCAAATGTGATACCAACCCCCTGTAACATCAGACCCTAACACCCAATTCAAAAACAGCTATCAGAAAATTCACAAAGTCTCAATGATATTCAGAATTTTTTCTCAATATGATCCTGAAAATTAGAGATTCACACATGCTTAATACAAAGGTAATATTAACCTGTGCCTATCATCACATCATCAAGGCCATTTATCAAATAACATGACTGAATGACCAACACTCATTCAGAAGGTCAAACGTTTGAAAGTCAACTCAGCAACAGGCTATCTCAACTCATGTTTTTTGTGGTTTTCTTCATACTCTCTGCACAAACACTGGGACAGAGCTTTAAAACAGGCCAACAACTGCATCCTTTCACAACCTTTCACATTCATCATTCACGATTACTCAACCATTCACAATATAACCTATGCAGCTGGAAAAAAGCCCTGTTAAGCAAACAAACCAACAGACAACCAACCAACTGAATGACTGACTGACTGATCGATTCATCAACTGATCAATCAATCAATCAATCAATCAATCAAGGAATGTTACCTATGCTGTGGATCTTCAACAAATGGAATTCCTAATAGCTTGTTAGAATTCTGTTCAGGCCCATCCTCCTCTTCCACTCGAAAACCAAATTCATCAAACCTGAAAATAAAAAACGTAACCATTAGCAAACCTACATAATAACAATTTTAGCACACTGTGAATACTTTTTATAACAACACAATGGTATCAAATGCATATTTATTATTTTCTAACATTTTCTGTATTAGACATTTTCTAACAGAAAAATTCTGAAAAAGCCTCTTAAAATTGCTTATCTGTCTGCATTTATAAGTGCTGGTACAAAATAAATGCTTCCCAATTTTCACCTCATAACTTAAGAAAGTTGCATTACATTCCAGTAAGAGGCTTCAGTTTGAAGGTGAATGACTCTGTGATAGCATCATACCACACTCTCAAAATGGCTGTTTCATTACGTGTGCAAACTAAACAGAAAGCAGTCATTATGTTTCCTGCTATGGACTTTTTATTATGTTTCAAATTCTTTTTAATGTAGAATGTTTCAGCAGTTATGCTTCTGAAGATATACACATTCCTACACCCTTACCATTCAAAACTCTCAGTTTAAACCTGGCATTTAAAACCCCTAGTCTGAAATCATAAGATTAAACCTTCCAGAAATAACCTCAAATTTTCACAGTATTCCCGACTTATTAACTGCTAACATTCTGAAAAATTTCTATACAAAATTCATAGATATGCTTTTAATTTAAAACCATACAAACTTTCACAATCATATAGAGGGATAAGTATATATTTTGTGTCACCACCATGTAGTTATTTTACACTATACAATCAACTCTCGATTATCCGGGGGTGGATAAACCGGTTTGTGGCTTAACAGGGGCTACCAGGGCTTTTTTGAGGCTTATATGTTGTTTAATATTCATTCATTTTTGTTTCACATGGTGAGTTGTAACACTATTTTCGCATTAGTGTAAACCAAGCTCTGCATCTTTTGGTCCCATTATGCTAACACAATGTTCTAGGATAGGGGTGAAAGAATGCAAGGATTTGTTGAAAGTTTCAAGGACAGATACACCGCCCCAGTTAGTCTCTTTGTATCAATCTTCAAGTGCGTTAACAAAATGTAAAAAGAAGGGTAAAAGGGTGTAAAAGGAAGTGTGTTGTGTTAAGTATTCAACTATCAATCAGTTGGGAAAAAAGAGGTGTAGTTAAATAATTAGCAATGCAATATGATAATGGAGAACAAACTGTTCGGGATTTGAAAAAACAAAAGAATCAATTAATTTCCTTTGCTTCGTCTTCTAATTCAAGTGGAATGAAGAAGAGAAAAACCATGAAAAAATCAACATATGATGAGCGTGACAAAGCAATGCTGATCTGGTTTAATCAACTAAGGGCACAGGGAACAACAATAACAGGAGCAGATTTTGCTAAACAAGTAAAATTTTTTCCCGAAGCACTTGAACTACAAGGAAGTTTTGACACTTCTTCCGGTTGGCTAACACGTTTCAAGCAGCGTCATGGAATACGAGAAATTAGTATTCAAGGTGAGAAATCGTCAGGGGACTTGTCATCATCAGTTCAATTTTGCACCAATTTTGATACTTTTGTGAAAGGTGAAAATCTGCTGCCAGAACAAATCTATAATGCCGATGAAACGGGTCTTTATTGGAAATGCTTGCCAACCAGAACATTGGCATTTCAAAATGAAAGACAGGCTCCAGGTCACAAATCCAGTAAGGAGAGATTGACAGTCTTGTGCTGTTCTAATGCATCAGGAACACACAAACTAATACCAGTAGTTATCGGCAAAGCGAAAAGACCACGCTCTTTTAAAGGAACAGTAGCTTCAAGTCTGCCTATCCATTATTTTAACCAGAAAGTAGCTTGGATGAATAGAGCGATATTTAAAGAATGGTTTGATTTTAAATTCGTGCCTCAAGTTCGTGACCATCTAAAATCCCAAGGCCTACCTGAGAAAGCTGTGCTCCTCATTGACAATGCGCCCTCACATCCTAACGAAAGTCTCCTGAGGTCAGATGATGGAAATATTTTTGTGAAATATTTTCCCGCTAAATGTTCCGCACTTATCCAACCAATGGATCAAGGAGTTATCTCAAGTATGAAGAGAACCTACATATCAAATTTGCTACACAAGTACATCGATGAAGGCAATGATCTGATGTGTTTCAGGAAGTCTTCTTCAATGTTAGATGCCATATATGAGATTTCAATAGCATGGGATACAGTACACCCATCTCTACTGAAAAATTCATGGAAGAAACTGATGCCTTTCATCACTAATGAAGATGACGAAATCCATGGATTCACTGGATTCAGTGAAAATGAGATAGCCATAAAATTGACAAAAGTGGCTAACCAAGTTCATGGTGGTGAAGAAGTCAACGAGGAAAATATAAGAGAGTGGTTTAACTGTGACTCGTGTGAACCGGGCTTCGAAATGTTAAGCAGTGACGAAATCGTAACTTCANTGCAGTCAGAAGAGCGGGAAGAAAGTGAGAATGAGGAAGAGGTGAACGGTGCTGCTAGTAAGAAAATATCACATGGTGCTGCTCTTAATCATTTGGAATCCTTATTAGACTATCTTGAGAGTGAAGAGAACAGTTTACTAAGTGACAAGCTAATATTACGTAGGCTTCGTACGGATATCCGTAAAAAGGAAAATGCCGCGAAAAAGCAAAAGACAATATTAATTTTTTTTAAGCGTTAAGTGTGAATATTCGTAAAGTGTTGCGTGTACTATGTAAAAGCTTGAGTCAATAAAAGTTTAATAATCTTCAAAGATCTGGTACTACACACAGCATCACTGCCACCTCAGAAATTGTATGACTGTGATAATGGTACAAAGATACAAGAACATAATGATTCTGTAAGCCTGTCTTTCCCTGCAAAGAAGTTAAATAAAGAAAGGCAGGATGTCTGTTAAGTAATGGTACAATTTTCAAGCAATATAATTTTGTAACAGTTAGTGCTAAGAACAGGAAAGAAACTTGAAATGAGTGAGAAATCAAGATTCAATGAAATCTCATTTGTCACTTTGCACACATCCATTTGGTATTTCAATTCTTGTCACAACTGACTGTGAACATTTGGAATTATTGTCTCAGAAGTGTCTCTAACTCTTCGCTTCACATGACCGATGCCAATGATTTTCACTCTTGACTTCACTTATGTAGTTTCATAAATAAAAGCAGTGGAGCAAGGTTTGGAGACTGACACAACGAAGATTTTTTAATCTCCTCTTCCAAACTACAGTCCTGAAAAATGTATACTTGGACTTTCATGAAAAATCTCAGGACATGTTTGAACTTCACATATTACCACAAATTAAGAGCAATAAAGTAATGTGAACTTGACTGATCTCAAACTCCCTGTGCAGAAACTGCTCATGAAATGTTATCCAGGCTGACATACTGAAGATGGTGGTTCAACACCTTGACTACCTTAATTCTGAACCTTAACCCAATAAGACTTCACCTATGGAACTAAGTAAAACAAGCAGTTATCAAGTGTGAACATCACTGAAAAAGACCATTTAAAGTAAAAAAAGAAAAACCAGTAATAATGCTGAGTCTGTAACGTCAGACGTTCTCACTTGGGTGTTGCAAGATTCAGAATTACCAGAGAGTTGTGTACCCAGCAACAACTTCAATAATTAAACAAGTAAATGTTCAGAATTTACCTTTCTCTCGCTATTTTACCCACACTCCTACTATAAACAGTTATGATGTAACGAAACTTGGAAACTGAACCTTAACTTTAAGAACGCACATTGCACTTCACCACTTTGATACCTGTACTCTGGTTGTGAATTCGGATCATCTGGTTGTTGCCCAAGCTTAATAAGAATATCCTGAGGCCACATGGATGGTGTCAAGGCAGAAAATGGTCCTCCTGGTGTTGGAGACACACCATCAGCCTTAATACTGAGCCCTTCTGAGACTTCCCCAAGGCATGATAAATCTCCTTCTCCTTCATCCTCTGATAAAGCTGTATCAATTTTATCCTGCGACATAAAAGCATCGTTATAGAAGTAGGAACCACACAAATGATCTACAAATGTAACATAAAGAGCTCAAAACTGTAGGATTGCTGCCCTTTATATATTTCAAATGTACCATCATTTTTGTGCAATTGTTAATTAATGCAACCATTCTCCAGGCAATGAAAGAAAACTAACAACATTCTCTGCTGGACACACTAGAGGACCATAAGATTAGAGCCATTCTTGGCCCCTTCCCTACATCATCATCACTTCTGTACAAATTTTTTATTTAATGGTAATGAGTAATAAGCAATATATCAAGAATTCCTTCTTTTTTCTTTACAAGTAATGAGTCCAGAACACAGGTAATGGATTACTCACAGTTATCACCATTACTGCCATCACTGTCACTGTCATAATGCATCATGATCATCATTCATTCATTCATTTATTGTATATTCCATAAATCCATATACATAGATATAGAACCAGTCACATAGTTAATAAAGTACAATACAAATATAAATATATATGTACAGTATATATATGTATATCATGCAATATAGTATCAATAATGAAAGCATTGTTATATAACCCCCAAAAAAACAGTCCTCATCACTTTGTCAGGCATTATGCCATGTGGCCTGTTATGAGATCATACAACATCTTCATTGGTCTTCCCAATCTTTTCTTTCCCCTAGGCTTAAAGACTATAATCTGTTTCAGTATTATGTTTCCTTTTTTCTTACTACAGCAATGGTAACAATCTTAAGAACAAAATCAACAAACAGAATATGATGCTGATAAATCATACTGAACAGAGTGAATTTTCAACAAACATGCAATGACAAACATTTTTCTGTGCTACTTTTGTCAGACATACTACCAAACAGAATCATTAAATAACACTCCTGTCAGTTCAAAAGGCAAAGCACTGTACATTAAGATTTTATAAAACTAAAAGGGTATAATGAGAAACCAGCAACTGTCCAGTCTATAAGTATTTACCTGCAGAATACTGTACTAAGATGAATATCAGAAATAATATACTACACTACGTATCGTTCATGATGATAGAAAATTAATAACAGTATAAATGGATATCGAAGATACGCTACATAACGTTAAGTTATTAGAAACCACATGTAAATAATGACGACTCCAAAGGAAAATGAATCAATGCAGATATTTCAATCATTTTCTTATCAACGCAACACTTTGTCGCACAGATTTGATGGGCAACTTACATTGTAGTTTTCCTTGCCTGCATAGCCATCGTGTGTTCGATTTCCAAACAGCGATTTGGCAATATCCATTATTAAACGTTAATTAAGCTGTATATTAAGCGTTCCTGCCGTACTGAGCCCTAAAATGAATAAGTAGATTACAGGTGGTTTGAAACTATTCTACACATACAAACAAATACAACCAACATCATTAACACAATACAACGCTCGCATCCGTAATGTCCGTAATCGCTCTATGCTCTATGCCCCTTGATCCTCCTAGATTTTTCTACTTGCTGCTTCAATTTCACGGATCGCCCCTAAAACTCTCAAGCCTTAGCGTCGAAGGTGTAACCCGAAGACTCAATCCTTAGCGCAAGGAGGTGTAAATATATTATCATTTATTCTATCAAAAATGGACTTGCAGCCGGTGCAGTCCACAGATATCGTGAACAAACACCGTACCTAGTTTACGAGACAACCAAATCCCCTACAGTTTCCATATGCTCAACAGAATACTTATTACTCCTACGCACGTGGGCTTGGTCACATCTAGAAAACTGGCAACCGCAACGAAACCTCAATTACCGAGAATAGTCATCAGCCCGAGTTGAACACATGTAACTGAATAGAGCAGCGCAAATTGAGGCAACGCAACTTGTCGAGAGACTGAGAAACTCAACCTCCGGGCAACGGAGCATGCCTGTCTTCTCATATATGCGTTGCCGCGTGGTTTCCTTGAATCAGCTGTTCTATAACGTGCCGTCACTAATTCGTTTCTTACGATGGCACGAAAGGTTGACGAAGGTGCTACTTTTGTTCTTGTGCAGTTAACTGAGCAAGAGCCTGGTATATATGGCAAACGCCTCCCAGACTATGCTAGGCGGAACAAAATAAATTTGGCCTGGGAAAGAATTTCTCATGAGACGAAAGAGTCTGGATCCAGGTTAGGCTCTTTCGAAACATACGCCCGTCAGTTTAAATTGTCACAGAAAAACGAATGCTCCTGGCTTTTTGGTTTCTTAATATTCTGTTTATGCATCCTGTTCCATTAATATATCATTTATTTTTACATATATTTCCATCTTAAATGCAACATAATATATACGTAGTCATCCTTCTTCCACATGATTCGGCTGTATACGGCCGTCATCAGGTGTCTTCTATCTTGCCAAAATTGTTGTACTATATGCCAAAATTTCCTGTCACGTGTGAACGCTAATTTCCTTATTAAAATAAACTTGACCTTAATTAAAATGTTAATTAACATCTCAATCTTTTCCTTATGGTCGTCGTCCTCTCTTCTCACGCCATCTCAATCGGTCTCAACTACCACAATATTATGACAGGATCAGTATATTTTATCTTCTTTGCAGGAGAAGAGTGCACGAAATTAAAAAATACATTCATGGAATACGTCGGGCAAACACCCACTTAATATGATGTGATCAACTACTCTAATATAAATTTCCTCAGTGTGCGCCTCCTAATCTGGAAACAGGTTGCCTGCTTGATATCGGCGACATTTCTCGGAATTTGAGGTTGCGTTGCGGTTTCCAGTTTCCTTGGTGTAACCACGGCCAAAATATCAAGAGCGTTCAATAAGGGGAAGAGAAGTTTGCAATATTTAGAGTGATCCGTGGCCATCCGCCGTTTGGAGCGGTTCGAAGGAAAGTGACTGGCGTGGTCGATTACTGAACGAATCTGATTACGAGAACGTGTGATGTAAGAGTGGGGCTTTTTTTTCTTAAGTGTGTTTGTGCATGTGGTTTCATAGAGTAAAATGCCTACGGTATGTTATGTCTTGTAGATTGTATTATGTGGAGAGTTCTATCTGTATGGTTGTGCCTGCTATCTCCTCACTGGTTTCTTGCTTATCTTGTTCTTCCATCGTGAAATTGGAGGCTACATTCTCCGAAATGTCGGTTAACTTTCAGCTGACTAAACGGGGTTGTATCCCAGGAGATAGAACTCTTCATAAACACCGCTGTGAGAACCTCAGACCCTAAATATTATGCGCCATTGTAAATTCAGTTAAAGATAGGTTATGTTGGTGGGATGAAATGCTAGTATGGCAACCAGCGTGCCCATCTTTATTTTTAAACTAACTGTAGGTCTGCAATCCTCAGTTTATGTAAAAAAATATAAAAGTAGTGGAAATCAAAAGCCTCACTTTTGAGGGTTAGCATTCCTCAGTTTGTAAATCACAGACCCAACAATCTAACTTTGGAAAGTTTGCATATTAAGAATAAGGTTGGAATTCTCTGACATCTTTGGTGTGCCACAGGCCACGGTTAGATACGCACGTGAAACGATCGTAGGAACTGTACCTGTATAGGGCAGTGGAAGCTCTAGGGAAGGGAATATCTGTGTGACATGAGGAAAGAGAGGGAACCCTGGGGAAGAGGTTACCTGTGTCACAAGGCAGGATGGGTCCTGGTCAGTGCCTCCATATACAAAAATCGAGCTGCTGGTGGTAAAGGTGAATAAAGGTAAAGTTGTCCCTGTTCTTAACTAATTGAGCTCTATGCCATGAAGATGTATGGGGAAGTATGTGGTATAGATTCACGTTTCCTTGACCTCGGCACTAGTTGGAAGTGAGTGGTCAGTGTCATGCCCTTGCCACTTTACCCCCGAGGAAAGAGCCCCCGGTACCCATTGGATAGGAGGCCAGGAGGGCCCCAGTGCCAGTCTGGACAACGGCATGGAGAAGAGAAAATTCTTGACCTTACCAGGACTCAAACTCCGATCTTTCGGTTGTGCAGCCTGTAGCCAATCGCTATACTGACTGCACTATCCTGGCTCCCAGCTGCTGGTGTTACCAGCATTATGTACATCTTGGAATTTATTTGTTCTTGAGTTACTGACAATGCTTTTCAGTCTGAATAAATTGTGTAGTGTCTAATGGTATGTTGATTGTGTGTGGTAATTGGGTTTGGAAAGAAGTGGTCAGGTCAAATTGTAGGTGCTATTCCAGAATTTTCTTTGAAGAACTTAGAAGAGCCAAAAAACCCCAAGTTTTAGTCCCTGGTCAGAAATTCAAATATGAAACATGAGCACTAACCACTGGATTGCAGTGCAGTTAATTTTTTATGGTGTTGGTGTGTAAGAGGGTTCTTTTTCATACCACATCCAGAATGTTGCTGTAATCTGTTTGGCCTCCTATTGAGAGTAATTTGGAGTTCTATCATAAGTAATGGGAAACTGACCACGAATCTCTGTCTGAAGGCAGATCTGAGTTCTCATGGCAGAATTTTTTTTAATGCTAGTGGGGTGGGACTAAGTCCCTTGTACTGTGGCCATTTCTGGCCTATTGTACCAGCCCCAGAAGATAGGTGAGGGTGATTGTGGAGCAATTGGTGGAATGAAGATTGGCAGGGGAAACCTAAGTACTCTGAGAAAACCTGCCCCAGCACCACTTTGTGCACCACAAATCCCACTTGACCAGACCTGGGATCAAACCCGGGCCGCCACGGTGGGAAGCTAGCGGCTAACTGCTTTAGCTATGGCGTGGCCCTCTGATGAAAGAAGCTGCATATTACTGCTTACTGGGATGTGATGCCATGCAGTTGGGTAAATGTTTTACAGCGTTTCAGAGGAACTTGCTCTCTTCATTTTCATGGTAGAAGAGTACTTTATGTATGAAAGAAATGGTATAGATGCAAGGAAGGAAGGTACTATGATGATGCCTCTGTGTGAACCAGTAGGAAGAAGGAGAGCAGATTGAAGAATATTGAATGATTGAAGGTCATTTTTCAAGGGCAGAGGAAATGGGAGAAATAATGTCTCCATTGAAGGAATAATAGGTAGAGTGAAGTCAGGAGTTAAGGAAAAAGTTGCTCTGTATCTTCCCAGAATCAACTCCCATTAAAGCTTTATTATTTATGTCATTCATTCTACCCTTAGCAAATGGACCTTTAACCATTTGACTACCAAGCCCCACCATAGAACTAGTTTCTAGCTTTTCAGATCTGGCTGTAGTGCATATACCATGCTACTGGCCTTGCCAAGAAACTGGCAGTGGTACACATACCACCAGGCCTTTAAAAATTTGCAGCAGAAAATTACATTGGTATTGGAGATTTCACAGCTTGATAGCCAAAAGCTTCTAGTTTTTTGCTTTAAAAGTAGATGTATGCATGATAACAATGTGAAGTAGTGTCACCTGCAGTCAGGTGTTGCATTTACTATAACACCTCAGTCTCTCTTGCTTTGTGAATGAATGCACCCCCATGGTTCAAACTGTTGTCATGCTGAGACATGTGTTGACAATCAAGGAGAGGTTACATACTGTTCTAAGAATAGTTTCCCATGTGCTTGACTGATATAAAGTCACACTTTATTTTGTAATGTTTATGTTATTAGTGTCATCAGTATTGTTCCATATTTGAATGTGAGTGCGGTAAAGGTAAAGTTGTCCCTGTGCTTAACTAATTAAGCACAGCTCCATAAAGGTGTATGGGGGAGTGGATTTATAGTTCCACCTTTTCTTAACCTTGGCACTAGCTGGAGGTGAGTGGTCAGGTTTACACCCTGGCGCTTTACCCCTGGGGAAAGAGCCCTCGATACCCATTAGATAGGAGGTTGGGTGGACCCCAGAGTCATTCTGGACGAATTAGAGAAGAAAAATTCTTGACCCTACCAGTACTCGAACTCTCGACACTTCAGTCCAGCCTATAGCCACTCAGTGTACCGACTACTGTATCCCAGCTCACTTTGAATGTCACCTTTAATTTTTTATTCTACCTGTAAGTTCAGTGTTATCCTTGCATATGTAACAATTCATAATTTATGTGCAAAATGAATTTTTCTGCACCCCTTTCAACCCTCTGGCACAGGAGAAAGGGTTGTTTAAATGATAGGGGCTACAAGAGGCTAGAAATGGCAACACTACATATGGTAAATGCAGTAAAAGTTAAAGGTATCCTTGTAACAGATCATGGAGGCCCATAGAGTTGTGAGATGTCGAAGCTCCCACATTTTCTAGACAATCAGCTGTGAAAGCCAATTTTTTCTTCTAAATGTCAGTGTGTCAAACTTGCTGCCATCTCTTGGTAGGAATGCAGTTTTAATTAATTGAAGACTAGCTAATCTCTATGTCTGTATCTGATTTTAATGCACGTATCCTGAGCTTGTATAGTTGGTATGTTTCTTCTGCCTTCACCTCTAACTCATAATCACTACAGCTGTTATTTCCCCCATTCAGTCTGCCCTTCTGTTGATTCACCCAGAGCCCTCATCCTGGCCCTCACTTTCCTTTTATACGTACCATTTTTTCATGCTCAGCCTTGTCATTTACCTGAAAATAGGAGCAACAGATCTCTTCAGTGTTTGTAAGTATCCAAAAGACAGCATGGCACAACATCCCTGAAGTCAGTAATGCTCATAGCTACCATCATGATAGCCTTAAATGTCACCCGTTTAGTTTAATTTATGTTGATATTTATTCTAGTAAGAATAACTACAGTTTGATCATCCTAGGGTTTCCTGCAAATCATTGTGCCGCTCAAGTGGAAAAATGAAATGCTTCGCCTGTGAAGTGGGTTATACAGATTTGGACTGCTGTTGGAATTGACATACCTATAGCCAAATACATTTGAAATAAAAGTTTCACAAATCACAGGAGATACTGGAAATGCTCTCTATTGTTATTAGAATAAGTGCCAGGAATGTATGTATAGCAGTAGAAAACATTTTGGGCAACTGCAGAAATTTGGGAGAATTTTGTTAGTAATATCCTGGCTGTAGGTTTTCCTGGATCACTAGTGTTATGAATCTCTGTGGCTCAAATTGATGGGAGGAACATCCAACGCTTCATCTTCATCATCAGCCAGGATGGACTTGCAGAAAAGCATTAGACCAGTGCTCTGCTATTACCTTGTTCCAAGTGAATCTTCATCTTCAGCGTATCAGTGATTTACAGGAAGACCAAGGGTGATCATACTATAGAACACGAGTTCAAAGGAGGCTGATCATATGAAGTGGGGGCATGTTGAAAGACTCTCAAGTAGGTGGTCACTTTAATGTAGCATTTTTCATAAATTTTGTCCACAAATTTGGTGAAATGTTGTTAAAAATTTTAGTTCAAGGAGTCACAGAAGGCACATTCCTCTTCACAGTTACCCTTCATACATTCAGCTACATCCATGCGTCCTATTGAATGTCGTTGATTGGTGAGGGGAAACATTAAGCAATTATTAAACTAATCTGATGAAAGAAATGTTAATGTATAACTTCATATTTTTGTGGAGGGTCAAACCTCCAGTTAAAGAGGTCTGGTTGTCTGTTTTTGGAAAATAATGTTACTGGTAAAATTCGTTCAAGGTTGACACCACTGAATGGCTTCTGTGAGATTTGTGGTGGTTGAAATAGTATTGGAGCTGGATTTTCTCTCAGTTTGTTAGATTCCTTGATCCTAATCATCAGTCTTCCGTTGCATCATACTTGTTTATCATTGCCCTCCTGAGGTGTGTAACAGCTCTGACCAGCCAACACACTCTCATGTCCTGATCTGAATCTGGTGTTTGGCAAGTTACAGAGTAAACAAGTTAGTGCAGGATTGATTCTGTTAAATAAATGTTTTAAATTGTTACAGAAAAAGGTCAAGATTCGGATGAGTACAGTAAAGCGGAACAACTTAAAGCACACAAAACTTAGCAAGCAGGGTAAAGCAAAACACAGGCACCATGAGAAAAAGACAGTACTCTTACCCAAGAGAAACAATGATCAGCAGTCTAAATCAAATGCTGTACAAGAGGAGGAAGAAGAAGAAAGTGACCATGGAGAAGAACTGTTGCAAATGGTGGAGAATGATGACCTAGAATTTCTTCATAATGCTGTCACTAGCCACAGTTACTCTCTACTGAATCATATCTGCTTCACAGAGTAGGACTTTATTTATTATTTAATATTTTAATCATTTCGACATCATGTCAGTTCATCCTTACTGTCAGTCTTTTCTAGACTACTTCCTGTATTTAATAACAACACATGTTTATAATATTGTCACGTATTGGGTGTATATTGCGACAAATAACTTCACGCCGTATTTGATGTAGTGAATTTTATTTCACATTTGCACTTACAATCACCCAAATTACAGATTTACGATTACTGCTATCTGCAGTATCACAAATAGTACACTCCAGATGCCACAATACAACTGACTGGTTGCTGGCTAACTTGGAACTAACTCGGAGGTAGCTCCAGGACTGACTCGTAGGTAGCTCCAGGACTGACTGACTGACTCAGTACAACTGACTATGAATAGCCTTCGCTGCTCCTTATGTAGCCTTGATCGGACAATACAGAAAACGGCCACGTAATAAGCACCCTTGTTGCCTCGCGCTGTGTTGCTAGCAATGCTAGCGGTAGTAACCGCTGTTACTACCGTAACAATCCTGTTGCGTCATCGTTACGTTACCGTGCGGAGGAGGGGGAGGGGAGCGCTGACTCACCCGCCGCGTCACTGCTGGTGGGGGGGGGGTCTCCTTTGCGCAACATGTTACACTATTATCTGTTAATGTTAGAGTTGCAGTGCTAATCCTAGCAGG